ATTAAAATGTGAGCTTTTAACCAATAAATGAAAATTAAACACATCTAATGGCAAATAGAAATATTAAAAAAGAGAAATGAAGACATGGCAAATGGAAAATATGCAATAAGGCAGCAAAGAAAATGTGGTAATATACAACAGAGTACTACTAAGCCATTAAGAAGGATAAACTTGAGTCATTTATCAGTAAATGGATGCACCTCAAGACCACAATTTTAAGTGAAATAGATCAGATTATAAGTTTAAATACTACATTGTTTCTCTTGTGTGAGAAACCCAAAGGGTAAATAAGGAGCAAAACAGAGGATAGAAAGTGCAAAGTAGGAAGAACTTGTCAAATGTGAAGGGAAACAAGGGAGCGGGCAGATGGAAGGGAAGGAAGGGAAAAGAGATTTTAAAAAAAGAGAATGGAAGGGAAAAAATGGAAACAAAGATTTTGTAAATGGGGAGGGGAAGAAGGATTGAAGGCAGGGGAGGGCAATGGAGAAAAAAATTAAGACATATGATGAATGTGATCATTATGTATGGCAAATACACACTAATAAAAATAAATACTAAAAAATAAGTTCTAATTCTAAAGTGATTAAAGTAATGTGAATGAATTAAACTCACCAATTAACTGACAAAGACTCTCAAAGTAGTATAAAAGTAAGATTCAGAAATAGGTTGCCTAAAGAAAATTTATTTGAACAAAAGGATATGGAATGGATGAAAATAAAAGAATTGCAAATTTAAAGTGAAAGAAAGCCAGGTTTAAGTTTTTACTATCAAACAAAATAGATTTGGGACCAGAATGCATTATTACCAGGGACAAGAGATGTTACAATAAATCAAGAAATTGTAATAATCCTGAATACATGTGTAGCTAACAACAAAGATTTAAAATAGAACTAAAATTGATAGATTCATAGGCAGAAATAACCAATAGTAGTTGAGTTTAACAAATGCTTTTCAGAGTTGGTAGCCATGTAGACAAAATATAAGCTACAGTATAAAAGATTTGCATTGTTTGTTAGTCTTTTTCATATATGTGAAAAACAAAGATTCCACACTCAAAGAATATGCATGTTTTCTGAGTATACAAACAACATTAAAACAGTATGAGTTATGACAAAGTATCAAGAATTCTAAATAATAGGTATTTGTATGGAATGTACTTTCTGAATAGTGTGGAATGAAGTCAGAACCCAATAACAAAAGATAGTAAAATAATGTTCTGTGTGTCTGGGAAGTAAAAAACAAAACAGAATAATTTCTTGTGTTAAAGAAGAAATTGCAAGAGAAATGGCACGTAAATGACAATAACATTCTAGATGTACAAAACTGACATGCAATGAAAGTAGTATTTAGAAAAATATACCTTTAAATATATTTATCACAATGATGAGTCTATTAAAACTTATATACTAAGTGCAACTGATCAAAAATAACAAAAAGAAAAGCAGAAAAAATGAACATATTGATAGAAAAGAACAATCTTTTTAGTTTAAAAAGAGATCATTAGGTGAGAGGAAAGCAGGAGGCAGACTTCTGGACCCAGGAAAGGAGATCAGAGAAGGAAAGAGGAAAGGGAGAAGGGGTCACTGGGATAGAAAAGAAGATTAAGATGTATTAAATGCATGTGCCAGTTTACCAAAATGAACTCCACCAGTCTGTATTACTGACGTGCATTTACAGAAAGCAAGCAAGCAAGAGAAAAAGAAGACAAGCAAGCACATGGGAAAGAATTATTCGGAATGTCAAAGCTAGCATGACATAAAATTCTGAAAAAAAAACCTAAGAAAAAAGTAAAAACATTCAAATAAAGAAGAGCATATAAAAAGGGTGTATCAGAGATATAAAAGAGTATAATATTTAAATTTTATTTTATAGAAGTAAATGTAAAAGCCAATACATATAATTTTCTTGAAAATGCCAAATATCAAAATTGGCCCCCAAAATAAAAAACTTGAATAGATTAATAGCTATTATTAAAAGTATTTAAAATATTCCTCCACAATGCACAGATGGTTTATAGCTGAGTGATAACAAATTTTTGAGAAAAGAAATTTCTATTTTGTACAAATGATTGGGTTTCTTTTATAAAAGTTATTGCTGGAAATATAAAATGGGGAAGATTGACTAATTCATATTAAAGCTAATATCTTTGTGACAGCTTTTGGTTAAGTCACTGTACTCAGATTTTGTGTTGCTTATCACTGGACACTAACAAGTAGAGGGTATATAAAATTTTAGAGGGTCAGAAAAAAGACTTCAATTAAATAACTACATTCCATAAGCTGGGATTAAAAGACTCAATGTGATAAAAATGTCAGTTTTCCATAAAATTAATTTACAAATTTAATCTAATTACCAAAAAAAGTAAAAGAATTTATAAAGGGAATTAAAGTAATTCAGATGTCTCTTGAATAAGCTGAAAGGTAATTTTAAAGAGAAAGTTAGACGGGTTTGATTTATTCTATCAATACTAGTGAATATTCTAGTAATACTTCATTGAAGAAAACTGCAAAGAAGGAAAAAAATAGGAGGGCCCAAAGAAATCCTGAGGATAGCGACATAAATTCTGTAGACAATTATACGGCTCTCTGACCAGAAGGAAGTGGGCAAATAAGCATTTAATAGAAGTGCTAAGCCATCTGTCAACTATTTGGAAAACATAAATTTGGTACCTGTCCTACATCATACAATGAGTTCTTAGAACATGCCTGATACCAGCCTTGCACTAATTAGTTAAGCACTAAACTATAAGCCAAGAACCATGCAGAGGATACAACTGTCAGCAAAAACAGGATCAAAGAGGTGGGTAGGAAGACACCTATGGGCCCAAAGTAGGGCTGACCAACACAATGTCAGCCTACGTGCTTTTTGCTCAAGCAGTACAACTTGAATTTTGCTTAACATAAATAAATTGGGAGGTTCCCCGTACCATGAGGCTTTATAAACACTCCAGTACCATGTGACCCTCCCCAGGTTCTGTGCATAACCTTATAAAAACTGCCTTGTGCATAGTTTGGCATGGCTGTTAACTGCATAAATAAATGTAAGATTGGGACAGTGGCAGTATAGAGACACAGATGTTATGAAAGAGTGCCATATAGTTGTTACTGAAAACAATCCCCCAAGGCAATTAATGTTAATATGTTAAAAATAAAACAAAAGAGGCCAGGGATTTAGCTCAATGGTGCCGACACCTGCCTCACAAGCACAAGGTCCCAAGTTTGATCCTGATACCAAAATAAATAAATAAAACAAAATATTTACAAGTGAAATGATGAGATTATTTTCCTGCTTTTCAGGTGGAAATAAACTTTTAATTGTTAAAAACCAAAGTTACATGAAAATTACCAGTTTGGCTAATCAGGCTAAAAATAAATCTGGCATGCTGTACAGAATGAGTCTATACCAAGCTCATCAAAACTTTTCTACTGAGGGGCAGATTGACAATAATTTAGGATTTTCAGGCCATAGAGTCTATGCCACAACATTTCCACTTCGTTGTTATGTTACGAACTCAGTCACAAGCAGATGGAGAGATGGGCATGACTGTGTTTGAGTAAAACTTTATTTACAAAAAAAGTACTGTACAGTAACCCAGATTTGGCTAGTGTTGCATAGTTTGCCAACCTCTGGTCTGGTATAGATCAGAGCTGTACATACTATAGTACACAATGAAAATACTTATGGACCATTTAATTCTTGGCTCAATTCAGAAACTGGAGGATATAACCTTCCTCATCTTATTTCTGCTTTTTAACATTTCTAGCTTCTACAAAACAATATGGTCCCTTATTCTGGCTCCACCATCTACTAGAGACTAAGGGGTCCCACTCATTGAACAACACTAACGAGCTACACTACAGGGATTTGCCTGGGCAAGACTACAATGATATTACTGCCTCCAATATTTGTCAAAGTTGGACTGAGAATTAAAACATTCAAGGGAGATTTCTTAAAGAAAGTAGTCTACATACTCCTACCTAACCACTCTTCCGTATTATTTCCATAGAAGAATTTATCTTTTTCTGCATTGCTTTTTGGGTTAAAAATATCAGTTAACCCAGAAAGTATAAGAAATGAAGATGCTATAAATGATGACATCTTTTATCTTCAACATGAGAGGCTATTTCCCCACAAACAAGTATCAACTGCTTTGGGGCCTATCATCACTGTTTGCACTTTACATGTTGGGGTTCTGAGAAGCTCATTAGGAAGAAGAGTTTATATGGGCACCTGTATCTGTACCCAGGTCTTTCCTGGACCTTCTCTGTTGGCTCCTTGTTGCAGGAATCTGACCGCTTCAGGGTTTGAGACTGTACCACTCACGTTCCCTTGCCTGAGTTTTGCCGGGGGTCCTCAGTAGGAGGAAAATCAGGTTAAGAGTATGGGGTATATAACACTCTTTCCCTGGGATGCAGTTTTTACAAAGTTACAGGTGTTGAATGGTCTTTCTTCAAAAAGAGAATCACCTTTCTTCTCTTTACCTATTAAGCCAAAGGATGGTGACAGCTTCCTGCTGCTGCTTGCTAGTCCCTGTATATTTCACCATCCCTTGTTAGTCCTATGAACTGTGTTCATTAAACTCTTGAATTAAAACCTTTGGGTATGCCATCTGATTCTTATTAGGACTCTATTTTAGCAAAAGACAAAAAGAACTATTTTAGAAAAGTCACTGCCTTAAAAAGAACTCATCATCAGGTACCAAAACCTGTGTAAAATTGAAAAACTATAAATTGAACACATGGCAAACTTGCACATTTAAGTTACAGCTTGAAATTATTGGCTAGATATACTATAAACAGAATTTAAACTAGTGATAGTGGAATGAGTTCTATGTAAAGTTTGCTTTCAAATGAGAGACTCAAGGCAATCTGTTATTAAAAGATTTCATTTGAAAATTGATTGTTGTTACTATCTTATTCCTATTATTCAAACAGACACATTCATAATAACAAAATGGACCAGTATAGGTTAATGTGTTGTGAGTCAGTGGCATATCTTACCTCTTTAAACTTGTGACTGAGCTTGCTTGTGTCCAGATCTGATGGGGAAAACATGTCTTCATTCTCAGGCAGCTCAAAGACTTCAATGGCCATGTCACCACTAGGGAGCACAGGTCCCACCTCATCCTCTTCTTCATCTGTAGCGTATTCTCCTGTCTGAAAGGAAGGGGATTTCAAAACTCTGGCTGTCCTTACCCAAGGTTTAGGTGAGCCATGTGAAAATATTTTATAAAAGAGAAATAAAACATGTCCGCAAATAGTAAAGTGTAAGTCAGCTTTTAAATTAAGCATGCCTCATGCAGCCAATGTTATAAACAAATGTTAGTTCAAAGAGTCAAAGTAACAAATTAATACCATATATGTACATTTCTAAAAATTTAGTATCATCAGTAGCATTGTAAGTATAGCAACGAGTTGTGTTGTTAATCTATTTGTTGCTTTTACTAAATAAAATTACGTCACTCAAGGAAATAGTAATTTCTTTAAATTCTCACCTCCTGTGTGAATAAGCCACCCAATACGGGGAGCAAAAAGAAAAGAAACAGAGATCAAAGATTCATTATGGTTGGAAGGGAACTTAATTAAGCCTTACAAAGGGTTAGTAAACTAACTGTCCTAAGCTTTATTAATTAGTTCTGTTCTGTTTGTTAGTGTGATGGTTAACTAGTGAGCTGATGGATAAACTAAGGGTTTCTAACTCCCTAGACTGTATATTGTTCTGCCTGTCAGTGTATACTGTACTGTCAATGTGAAAAAGAATTTCATGTAAAAGTCTCAATTTCCAGCTTTTTATGAGAAAGCCATGGATCTGTCAATATAGGTACACTGTGACATGATAACAACTGGCGAAAGTTGATAGTGATTGCCCCTTTTAATTTTCTAATACATCACATTTTCCCTAATGCCCCACAAATAGGTCTGCTGTTAGCTTTACTCCTTTATAATGCCCATGGACTCCTATAGATTTCTGAGTTCATGACCTCTGGATAAATCTTCCTCTTTAACATTAACTTCCTTGACATTACTATTAGAAAGTAGCTCCTCTCTTGGCACCATCATGCTAGGAGACTAAAATTCAAAATAATTGTTTGAAAAGTTTACCTTATGATATAATTTCAAGACAAACCACTTGTTCACAGAATTAAAAAGACAAATCATTTAAGTAGTTCTGTTGGGTAGTATTTAAATACATAAAACAATTCACATTGCCTGCAAAAAAACCTTCATAAACAGCATGTAGACTGATCCATTCCTTTGATTAAATATGTTTAGTGTCTGACTGTTGCTTTTCTTGTTTTTGGTCTATTCTGTATTCTTCCTGTTAAAGGTGAACACCCTCACCCCTCTGAACTGTTTGCACATGAAGAAATCTGGTCATTAACCTCAATGTAATTAGTCCTAGTGTCTGAAGACTAGTCATTATTCAATTGCCTTTGGATTTCCCCTTTTCAAATAAAATGATTTTAGTTTCTTCAAAACTAAACTAGAAAGGTCTAAATCTCTTTCCGTGTGAGTTTTTGTGGTTGTACTCTTGACTCTTTTCCAAGTTCTGCACATTGCTCATTAATCATGCAGCCTAAAAGCAGATACAGTTTCTACTAAGGCATCTGAGGGCCATGACTACAAAACACAACAAATACACTGCCTCAGAGTCCCTCAGCCTCTGCGTCCCCACATGGGGGTTACTATCACAAAGCCCCTGACTCTGCCAGCAGCTGCATGCAGAGGTAAGCTCAGGAGAGTCAAAGAGCAGTGACTTTGCAGTCTAGTTACAGACTAGACTCCACACCCCTAATTAAACCAGAAATGCTTTCACTGAAAGGAAATGCGAGTGCTATGACCGACCCAATCACTTTGAACCTATACAGCTCCTCAGTACCTAGAAGTCTAGGATTCTTCAGAAACTAGTCTGAAAATGTCAAATTTATAAATACCATCCCAAGTGTCTCTGGCACTGGTAGGGGAGAACAGCCAAAGATTAGGGCTGGCTGATTCTAGATAGCTTATGTTAGTAAAATAAGATAATACAATCTTAAAGAGACGCTTAATTTCAGATTTGATGTGGTTTTTGTGTACTCTGTAAATTAATTCATATCATGTATTTATATCTATCTCTCTATAAATTTCTTGGAGCTAACAGGTACTTTGTAAATACCAGTGAGGTTAATTAAGAGGCATGTAGTAAGGATGGTAAGTAGACAATTTCAAGATACTTCACTAAAATTTTTATGTGGAGACATAAGTGTGAACTTATTTTTAATCCTATAATCACAATTAGCAGCAAAGCCAAACCTTTATTTTGAAGGCTTAAACCCTTACATAAAATTCAGTTCTATACAATCTATTTCATGACTAGCATGAATGACTAAAAATCTTAAGCTAAATTTAAAGTCTGACTAAGCCATAACAATGTGGCACATTTTAAACATGGATTGAAGTGAACAAGTTGATTTTTGCCAGTTTGAAAATAAATAGCTGTTCATTTTATGTAAGAGAATTGGTAAAATATGTAACTACAATAAGGGCTGACAACAAAGGATCTCAATAAATACCTTTAAACGAATAACCTTAACAGTGCCCACCTGTATTTACTTGGGAATATCTAGAACTTCTAAGGAGGTTTTCAACAATATCAATAAAATAAACTGTAGTCATTGGTTAAGAAGGCATTTTCCTGTCACACATATTTTAAAGTATTATCAGGATATATACAATATACACAATTCTTACCTCTAAGAATAATTCTGGTTTTCTCATGCAGATATACTTTATCAAAAGTGTCTTCACAAATATAAGTTATTAAGAATTCTTCTTGCTTCTTTATTTCCCATTTCTTCTTCCCAATACCCAAATCACCTGTAACTCTCTTAAAATTCTTATCATTTATTGCATCTTTCCATTTACTAATTTTTTCTTTTCAATTAGCCTTATAAGTATCCTGCAGACAAAATTTTACTTGCAAGTAAAATCAATGACATGGAATGGTGCATTAGCAGAAGGCTGGCTGTACACCTCGAAGTTACACTGGATTGAATCTGACACTTATGGAGGAAGATGGACAATATTAAAAAAAAAAAACTGCAACAATTCTTTAAGTAGCCAGAAACTCTTGATTTTTTTTTGTTTCAGCTCAAAAATGCACTTTAACTGTGGCAAGAATGAATTTTAGGGTAAAAACTGACAGTAAATATTCCTTTCCATGACCCATCTTCTTGATTAACATCTTTTATTTTCTAAGTTTCACAAAAAGGGGCAGAAAAGGAACAAACAATCCTTTCACAACTTACAGTGTGCCCAGAATTGTACATTTCTCAATAACTACATGGCATTGGCTTAAGGTACTATCTTAATTTAAGGAAATTGAGACTCTGAGACGACTTAAGGACAATTAGTTAACTTGTTGGAGGTATATTTAATATATGCTAAAGCCCATACTGTTTATTCTTTTCGATACTGCTTCCACTCTATAGAAATTGAAGCTATGCAGGAAAACAAACAAAACATCCAAGAATACATTCCTTTCCTATTTTCCCGACCCAAATCCTGGTGCAAAGTCCTGTTGTGCGGAGATTCCCTTTCACAATTTTGAATATTATCATATTCAATTCATTTTGAAGATTTCTGTTTCTACAGTGCTCCAAAGTTTTGTCCTCTTCTCATCTCTCATAATATGCTCATCCTCAGAAGTTCCCTTTGAGAGAAGTAATGGGCAGGCTGATTGCAATATAAAGAGAGGAATCATTGAAAAACATATATATGTATCATTTTATCTTACGTTATAGACATATTCATTTGTTTGTCTACCTTTTCATTGCACAGCCAAGTTTCTTGAGTCTGCTGACTGATGTTTCATGCATTCTTATAAAAACTTCAACTATAAAATATAATCTACAAAAATTATTGCAGTGTCCTTAATATGAATGAAAAGAATCACATAAAATTACTCTAGATTTTTAGTGTGCCCCTTTCTTTTACATTTCCTTCCCTTACCTAGTTTTGTTGGGCTATCAGCCTTTATTGAATCTTCCCAAGTATTTTATCTAGTTTTCATACATAAAATGACTTCCTTTATACTGTTACATCAAGGCACTTAATATTTTATTATATAACATAATTACAGTAACAAATACACTGACAGGCTTCACCTCTTGGCAAGCACACACTCTGGCTGGTGGGAACAGATGTGCACGGCCATACTGGAGCCTGAACACACATGAAAGCTATAACATAGCTATCAGTCTAGGTTTTACCAAAACAATAAAGAGTGTCTTATATTGGTGAGCTAGTGAAGTAGGATCAGTGAAAGAATCTTGGTTTTGCAGACACTTAGATCTAGGGCTCAGATCCTGTCTTTGAGACACTGAGAAAGTTCAATTTACTCATTTATACAGTGAAAATACTATAGTTTCTTAGCATAACAAGGTTGTTATGAGATTAAATTGGATGATGCCTGAAAAGTATTCAACCCAAGGCCTGACACATGGTAGGTGCTTAATAATTGACTGCTGTTGTTGCTATGGCTCGTACCAACATTGGAATGGCAACATACTTAATCCTCGATAATTTTATAACCAGATGTTTGCTTTTAGATTCATAAACCTAATTCCCTAAAAGATCTAGAAACACAAATATTTTGTAAGTAAATTACTCCCTTTACCTTTTGCTAAACCTGCCCCTCCTCTTATATTTCCAGTTTTCCAGTAGGCATGAGCTCTCACCAAACCCAGGAAAACTTCCATGCATCTGACTCCTTACTCACCTGGCCCTAACATGTTGCAGTGGTTCAAGACAATGCATATCCGATGAAGCTGTTGCCCTTATTTTTTTCTAATCTACTCCTTTATGCTCCCACCATATAAATTTGATGTTTTATTACCTGCCTCTCCCATCAAATTTTTTCAATTCAAAGATGCTTGAGCCTGCCAGCATCTTTATCGTTACAAACCCAATGTGGTTAGTGCACTGTTTGGTGTATAGTGGGTGCTAAACAAATGCTTGCTGAATAAATGAGGACAATAGTAGCCACATCTGCACAGCAGGGCAGAGCCTGATATTCCTGTTAATCTCAGCTTTCCAGTATAAAATACAGTGAAACATAGCTGCAGCTGGTGCCTAAATGACCCTATTGGGGATTTTCTCTTGTTGTTAGGTTCAAC